GGGCTATCTGCATCACATCTGTGGGGTACATGTTTAGCACACACTCCTGTATCTGAAGTATGGCCCAGAAACCAACCATGAATGCCAGGATTCCATCGCTGGCTGGCTCTGCATCCTTCTTCCTCGGGGTGACATCCCTTGGGCCACATGCCTATTCCTGGACCCATCGTTTGTGACTGGAGGAGGGAGAGCCATGATTGATGGGGCTGTGGCTGCACTGGGAAATCACCCTCAGGGAGATGGAGCCTATGGTGCCAGGGAGCCCCCATTAGACTCCCTTGATTGCAGACTAGCTTGAGTGTGGCAGTGAGAGGAGGGGACAACAGGGATCATGACAGAAGACCAAAGGTAACCACCCTCCACACTCTGAACACTAAGCTCTGAGAGGCAGGAGCAGCCTCTGCCTCATTCATAGCTGCATCCTCCAATCCCGACACTCACGTAAAAGTTTGCTAATAGAGAAACCTTCTCCGTAAGCTATTATCATTTTCATTTTATAAATTAGAAAACTGAGTCTGAGAGCAGTTTGCCTAAGGTCGCCCAACCCACTAGGACAGAATCGGGAGCCAAAGCAGGCCCAGACGTTTTTGTGCACAATGTGCCATGAGCCCCTCTGAGACAGCGGCCACTTCTTACCAGTGGTGCAACGAGAGAGCTGGACCACAGGGAGGGTTTCCTGGGTTCCTGGGAGTTGGAGCATGCTGGCAAGTGATAATGGCAAATGTGTCACCTTCCTGAGGAATCTGATGGCTTTTGGTTAATGCAACCCAAAGATCAAGATTCTTTTCCAATATCATTATTGTTTCTGTTTATTATAAAGGTAATATATGTTCACTGTAACATTTTTTTTAAAAAAAAAGACAGTATACAGAGCAGAAATTGAGAGTCTTTCCATGACCTAACCTGAGAAATAATGCATATATGCCCATATTTTTAACATAAGTGGGTTCAACTAATATATGTGAATTTATAATCTGGTTTTGTACTTGTGTAGACACTCACCTGCTAGCAGAACTGGAGTTCATTCTTTCTGCTTGCACATTTCTTTGGCTCTTGAGGGCGTAACTCAGAGTCCAAAAGTCAGAAAGGAATGGATTCTAATTTTGCCCTGAGAAATGGGTCAGAGCACATAAGGGCCCATGTCTTCCACCTTTCAACCCTGAACACAGGGAGCAGGGCAGGAGGCTTGTGCTGGTGCGTCTACATCGTGGGTCTAGATACTGGGGCAGCATGCTGCATGCAGGCTGATTCATAACTTCCTGCTTGGTGGCTAAAGGCTTCTCCTGGTCCAGAATTCCTGGCCCTAATTTCTTACCAAAAACCAGGTAGGTGTCCTCAGCCCTTAGTAACTGACTGTCTCAGCTGATGCGTGGAGCCAACAAAGAGGAGAGTGGGGAGACACATGAGGAGATTGGCAGGGACAGGAGTTGGTGCTCAGAGACCATCCTTAGTGAGGGAAGTCCCTGAGAATCTGGATACAGAAGTAACAGTCAGACCCCAGGGTGAGTAAAACCAGCAAAATGGGTTCACCCCTTGGAAGCCAGGGTAGACCCATGGCCCTAGATAGAAGGACCACATAACTTAGTCTGATCGGTAATAGTGACTTTGTTAGGATTAAACCAACCAGAGTCCTTCTAGGGAAGACATTGCAGAAAATCATACACAGCATGTAAGATGTTAAAGCTCAAGGTTCCCAGGAGGCTCAACCCCAGACCTCACTCTTTAGACAACTGAAACCCTGAGAAAGGAGGGGCTTGTTCAAGGTCCCAGAACTACATCCTAAAGCCAAGACAAAGCTCCGGGATTCAGCCTTTGGCTGAATGCTCACTCTCAAGTGTCAGAAGGAGTCACTTGGGCAATGGTGCTCTGAACCTTAGACTTTCTCCCCATCTACCTGTGTGAGGAATTAGTCCTGAATTATAGCAAATGGTTTTTGCACTATAAAGGGAAGACAGAATATGAATAGTCCTAAGATACTAAAGAGAAAGTTCAAGGAGAAGGTTCAAAAGCAAGTTCAAGATAAAACAATGGCCCTCAAAACTAAGCACTGGGGAGCAGAGGGCAGCGGTCCCTGAGAGATGGGAATGCAAGCAGCAAAGCCCCGCAACTGCCCCAGCTTACTGCCACAGAGAGCATCCATCCTGCAGCGCTCCTAGACACACCTGCAGAGCTCCCTGAGTCAGGAGATGGAGATGAGCATCCAGGGAGACCAACAGGGTCAGAGAGCTGTGATGGAGCGCTGTGGAGAGGAACCAACTCAGATCTGCTGTCTGAACAGCCCAGGGATTTATGTGAGGGATCAATCCAGGACCAGGGACCACCAGAAGGAGAAATTGTGCCCTCATCAAGGAAATATTCACAATGTCTGGCCTCTAATCTAAACTTGGCATATGAAGAAGAAAAAAAAATGACCCACAATAAGGAGGAAAAATCAACCCATTAAAAGTGACCCAAAATAGGGTGGATGATGGGAAAGGCAGCGGAGCACAACAGACACTAGTATGGCAATTTGTAAATCAATGGATGTGTAACTGATGTGAATCTGCAATCTGTGTATGGGGTGAAGGTGGGAGTTCATAACCCACTAGAATCAAAGTGTGGAATATGATATGTCAAGAAATTTGTAATGTTTTGAACAACCCACAATAAAAAATTAAAAAAAAAAAAAAAAAAAAAAAGTGACCCAAAATAGACACAGATTTTAAAAAGAAACAATGTGTGATAGGAGGATAATGGATGGAAGAAGTCTTTCTAAGTATTAAAAGGAAAGCAGAAGGCAAAAAGGAAGAGATTAAAGTATTTCTATTGTGGTAAGCAATTCTGTCCTGTAGACCAAACACAGAGCACAATCCAGGCCAACAGAACCAGGAGGGAACATCTACATGGCTGGCAGAGAGGCTCTGAGTGCAAAGAACAAAAACTTCTACAAGACCATAAAACAAATGGCCTCATGGAAAATTTGATCAAGAAAGTGAAAAAGCACATGAGATGGCAAAGAATCCATGAGGTGCACATTCCCTCTGGACCTGGGTCACTGTCCCTGTTCTGCTTCACATTTCCACAGCTGCTGTCTGCTACCATGGCCACAGCCCCAGGTATAGGAAACCTTCCCTCCCACCGCAGTGTGTGACAATGACAATATTGCCTGCTGCTAATACACACCTGTCCTCAGTGCCCATGCTCCGAGTTCATATCCATTTTCTTATCTAGTAATCAAAAGCTACAGAAGACGAAGATGACTGAGATTGGAGTGACCTGTCATGGATGATCTAGGATTTGAACCTAGGGATGTCCGACTGTCAGGATTTTGCTCTTTCCTTTTCCTAGGTTTCTTTACGTTGGCATGACTGACATTTGAGGCCAGATAATGTATAAACAAATTCTGACCAGTATTAATGGCAATATGGAGAAATGAGTGCAAGTCTGTATTTTTTTGCATGTAATTGTAAATTAGTACAACCTTTTGAAGGACATGTGGGCAGAATTTATTAAAATTTCAGATATGGAACTCCTTTAACCTTTCAACTAGCAAATCCAGCCTAGCAGTTCATGCAAAAACTCAGTATCACCTCTACATGAAAGCCTCTTTTAAGTTGTCCCAGCCAATATATTCACACTGACAACTCTCCGTACTTTCCCTTTGTGATATTCATCATCATAGTCAAATAGGCTTACCATCTCTTCTCCTTAAGAGCAGAGACTAGGAACTTACCAAATTAGCAATAATTTGAAGGTTCTAATATCTGTTTGTTATATAAGTTAGTACAGTCTTTTAATAGCAATGGATATTATACTGATTATTTTGCCACCATCACAATAGGTAAAAGAAAAAATTTAACATCCGTTAGTAGGAATATAGTTTAAAAGTACTCTCCTGGTCACCTGTGAATCTTCTTTGGAAAAAAAATGTCTATTTATCAACTTTTGAATCCAGTTTTGTTGTGCTTGAATTTTAGGAATTCTTTATATGTTCTGGATACGATTCCCTGAGACGTGAGATTTGCAAATAATTCCTCCCACTCTGTTCACTGCATGTTTTTTTCTCTATTGCTAATGACATTTGACGTGCAAAAGGGAGGTTTTTTAATGTTGATGAAGTTAGATTTGTCTATTTTTTTCTTTTGTTGCCTGTGCCTTTGGTATTGTATCCAAGAAACCATTTGGACCCAGGCTGTAACCTGAATGGACCTCAACTTAATAAGACTTCGGTCACAAAAGGACAAGTACCAGACAATCCCTTTCACATAAGGAACTTTTAAAAAGATCCAACTGCTAGAGACAGAAAGTGGAATAGTGGTGTCCAGAAGCTGGAGAGAGGCGGAATAAGGAACTTCTGTTTAATGGGGGCAGAGTTTTTCAACGTCTTGTTGGCTGCAATATGGAGCTCGGGAAGCTGATTAATGGTGGCAGCAGGTTGATCACTGTCAGTATTTTTATTGTGACTGAAATTACTCATGGGAACAGGACACGATGATGATTATTGCTAGCATAATGGAGAGCAGAAATGATAAGAAATAGAATTTAATTAGACCTTTGTGATTTGAGGTTGTGGTGGAAGCTGTGGTATGGAGATTAGCAGTTAGTTTTGGGATTCTCTTTTCTACTCAGGTTAAGTCTGGGAGGGCAGACGCTAATTTTTGGTTTGTGGTAAGGTTTAGATGAGGATATAGACATTGTATAGTGGTTGGGAAATAACCTAATAGGTTTGAGAATTTAGATATATTGGAGTAAAATTTAGTTTTTAGGTTGAGGGTGAGTTGATTTAGTTCTATAGCAATTGTGAATCCTAGAATGGTAATTAGTACTGCTGTAATTTTTAGGTGCAGAGGTATCATTAAGATTGGTGTATTTGTGGGAGGAATGTTGTAATGTCATGTCACGTAAAAAGTCTGTAGGTGGATGGTGGCGGTGAAGGTACACCTGGGAGTGTACTTACTACCATGGCACTGCCCACTTAAAATGGGCAAAACGGAAAGTGATCATGTGTTATGGACATCCTATCTGAATTCAAAATTTATATTTTTAATTGACACATAGTAATTGTACATATTTATGGCATACAGTGTGATATTTCAATACATGTATACAAAGGACCAGATGAGGATAATTGGCATATACGTCACTTCAAACGTTTATCATTTCTTTTTGTTGTAACATTGAAAATCCTCTCTGCTATATACTTTGAAATACAAAATGAATTGTTGGCCATAGTTACCCCACTGTGGCTATAAAACACTGGAATTTTTTCTCTTATCTAGTGACTCTATACCCATTTAAATAAATATTAAATTTATATAAAGATTTAAAAATATTAAAGAACATTTTAAATTTAGTAAATTTAATTTAAATAAATACTTTAAAGCATTCTACTATAGATTATATACATATACATCTTCCATGTAAATGGAGCACTGTGGTACTGTAAACCATTATTAAAATGAAGTTGATATGATGGTATTAAAAGATGGTGGGGGGGCCGGCTGCAGAGCAGGGTCACAGTTTGTCCCCTTCAGAATGAATATGCATTGAGGCATACAACAATACAACCTTCATGTGTGGGAGGAAATTCTCATGGGCTCAGGGAGATTTGTATATTGTAGGAAGTCAAACTCAAAGTAACTTTCATTTTCTGTTGACATATGTCAGTATCATTTTAACTTTTCACAGGGCATATATTATTTTTATAACTAAAAACCAATAAAGGGCTGGGGATACAGCTCAGTTGGTAGAGTGCTTACCTTACATGCACAAAGCCCTGGGTTTGATCCCCAGCACCACAAAAATAAAAATTTAAAAAAAAAAACAACAACAATAGAGCCAACAGCAGGGAGGGCTTCCAGGACCAGTATCTCAGCCCAGTGGCTTCACCTGTGTGACAGTCTCCCTGGGGGCCGTGGTCACGCCTCTCCACGCCTGGGTTCCCTGTCCATGAACGTGAAGGCGGCCTGCACACCTCACTGATGAGCAGGTTCCGTTCTGCACCTGTTCGTTCACTGTCTCTTCTCTACCCATCCAAGTGCACCATCCTGAGAACTGGGGTAATGGTGACTCACACTGTGAACAAGAGCAGAAATCAATGTTGCAAGAGCTAGCCCTTATTAGACACTCCTCACCTGCTGAGCACCAGGCCCAAGTGACCCTGTGTCTACCTGCAGGCGCAGAGCTGTATCCATCTGTCCAACCCAGGGGCTGGCTTGATTCCCTCAGACATGGCCTGTCCTTGTGCCGAGGACGAGATGTATTCATCGCGGCATCGTACCTGGCCCAGGGGGCTGCTTGGTCAGGCTAAGCCCTTCGTTTTTCTTCCTTCCAGCCCTGAGAAACCAATTCCAAAATAAAGAGCTTAGACTCTCTGAAGTGCATCTGAGTTGGGACAGAAGCCACTGAACCCCACAGTGAAAGGACTGGGACCTGTTTAATCTTTAACAGGCAGGGCCCCAAGGCAGCTGCTGCCTTGCACAGCCCCTACCCAACCCAGCTTCCCTCCCTTCTGCACACCCAGGTCTCATGCTCCACAGGGACGACAACACCAGACACCTACAGTTCTGCTCCAAGCAGCACTGGCAGCGTGGCATGTGGGACTTGTCCTCGTGACCAGCAACCAAGGACATGACATTGCCTACGGCCAAAGCCAGCTGTGGGTGAGGGAGCAGGGAGCCAGGTTACATGATGTGCCCACTGTTCCTGGGATCAGTACAGTCTCAAAACAAAAAGAAACATCCATCACTTAAAAATCTGCCTTTTCTCCCTGAAAAAGAATAGTGCACATATTTGGGCCACAATAATGATTACAGTCCTCCAAGACTCAATAAGGAGTGTGTAGAGGGTGTGGGCTACATGTAGCCCCAAACTGTAAATACAAAGCCTAGAGTCTGTTTTCGGACATGGTAGGGTGAGACTTGCTGTTGATTGCCAAACTCTGGAGAGGGGCATCAGACAGGGCGCAGGAAGGAGCAGGTTGGGGGACAGGAGGTTGTGCTGCTGGGAAGGGTCACCCAGAAGTGCAGATGGCACTTGGATGAGTCTGTCCTGCTCCTGTAACAAACAGGCCAGAGGCTCAGTCCACAGTTCTGGAGGCTGCAAGCCCAAGATCAAGCTGAGGCGGACTGGGTTCCAGTGACAACCCTCTTCTGAGCACAGCCACACTGGGGACGAGGGCTTTGACAAGGGACAGACGGGAGGGTGCACTCAGTCTGCAGCAGCACTCTTCCATGCACTCATTTCTCCCCAAACTGGACAAAGCCCAGGGCTCACACCTCGGCTGGTGCCCTGGCACCACGCACGGCTGCCTCAGGCCCTGGACTCTCCCTGCCACGTACCACAGGAACTCAGGCTCTTCTCTGTCCCCAGCCTTGGAACCCACCTCTTCTCTCCTGCAGTGGCCTCGTCTCACACTTGAGGAGAGATGGGTGACCCAGAGAGGAGCATGGACTGTGCCTCTAGGCCCCATCTCCCCACTGCTGGGCAATGGGGGTGCCCCTCCTCCCTCCATCACAGCCCCACCTGTGAGTGCCCTGCCAGGTTCTAGGCCCTGTCTCACTCAGAGTCTTGGCTTCCCACTGAAGCAGAAGTTGTGTTCAGGGTGCATGTGGCCCTATGGGCACAGTGCTGGGTGGCCTCTCTTCCATTTGCCTTGCCCTAGGCATGTCAGCTGTCAGGGAAAGCTGAGCTCCTCAGTCTTCTTCAGGGTCCAGGGAAGAGTCTCTGATCCCTCATATCTACCATTGAGTGATTGGGGTCATGCTCCCACTCCAGAGTTCAAGTAACCAACTGAGAGTCAACTGGAAAATTAATCACAGCATCGTTGACATTCTGTGGACATAGCCTAAAAATGTCTCCAGGTTCACAGCAATAAAGTCAGTCCTGAAAATCAGGTTCATATTTCCTGCATACCGATTCCATTCACTCCCCGGACACCTAGACACACCCTGAGCACATGCTGTGACCACCAGTAGCATCCTGAGATTTTGTGCTTCATTATCCAGCTTACCCCACAATATTATCACATAACTAGGTAATGTTGACCCCATTTTGCAGGAGAAAAACATGAGGGTGCAGAAATAGAATCCAATAGGCCAAAGCCAACAGGTAGTAAATGGAACACCTGGGGCCATCACCTGGAGCACCTAGTTCTCTAGGCTCAGTGCCACTGCCTCTCTGGGTGCCACAGTATCCATGAGAGAGTGAAGAAAGGAAGGAAGAGAAGGAGGGAGAGAAGAGGGGAGGACCCACAAGAAGGGCCTCCTCACTACTCCAACCTGAGACTCACTCACCCTCCCCACCTTTTGCTTCAGGAACCTTGTGTTCCTCCGGCAGCTCTTTAAAGTTCCTGCCTTCACCCCCATGGACTCCCTCTGAACTGGCCAGCAGGACCCCACATACACAGCCAGGTGCAGGCCAAGCCCTGGGGCCAAAGCACTCCTAAAGTCCTGGGAATAAGTCACCTCCAACCACCTGCCAGCAGGCTCCCTGCGTACCTCCAGAGCCCCTGCCCAACTTCCTCCCAACTCCCTGTGCCCACCTGCCTCCCAGTCAGCCTCTCTGGGGAAGCCACAAGCAGGTGATCTCACTGCACCCCTAGTCTATGGCACAGAACAGACTTGGAGGCTGAGCCCCAGCCTGAGCTCCTCAGACCCAGCAATGATTCTCTGAGCTGATCAATGGCCTCTTAATAAGCTCCTCTCTTGCTTAACCAGCCAGAGCCTGTTCTACGACTCGCAAATTAGACCCCTAATGAGACACTAGGAAAGCTACTCCCAAAATTGAAATGAAGACCAATGAGAAATAAAATGTTTTCTAAAACTTCACATCACTGAGCAGCAGAGGCTGCTTGGAGACTGGGAACACCACACCCCTACACTGACAGGCACAGCTCCTGGGGTCTATGCACTGCCCTCTAGGGCCAAGATGGGGGATCACACCAGAGAAGCCACAGTTGCAAATCCTGGGAACACAAGTCCAGATGGAAAGTCCAAGTGGGTATTGGCCCCTCAAGGAGACCTTCTATATCAAAAGAGAGATGAGAAGCAACTTCATACTGAGGAAGAATTTTTATCCTTGCAAACCAGATCATCTGCTGTACTAAAAGGTTGAAGCCAGAAGCCACTCTGGAGGCACACCATTAAACCCCAGGGACAAACACCAGCATGGAGCCCACAGCCATCGGCTTGGGCTTCGGGTCTCAGGGGCTCCCTGAGCCTTGTACTCCCCACAGGGAGTGTGAGCTGCCTTGCTGAGGACCCCCAGGATTCCTATGCTGAAGAGCAAACAGGCTGGCAGGAGGCCGTGACTCCAGGTTTCAAGGTTGAGAGTAAAATCCAGCCACAGCTGGACAGAGAAAATGAGCTCACATGACTTGCATTCTACTGAGGGCAAATGAGAGAAGGTTAGTGATTAGAACTTCACTCTGGCAACACCTCCCTCAGATCATCTATGAGGTTGTGCAATCCTGTAGCCCTATATATACAGCTCAAATCCAGGCATTGGCGCCTCTCGCTCAGCCTCCAAGGAGTCTCAGGTCTTCTGCTGCACACGGGCCCAGCCATGAGGTTTCACTACATCTTGGTGCTGATTTTGTCTTTCCTCTTCTCGCAGATCAACCCAGGTAAGACTTATAATCTTCTGGAAAACCTTGCCAAGGAATGGGGAGCATAGGAATCACAGAAATGAAGACAGCTGTATCCATGTCATGAAGGGCAGCAGGCAAGAGAGACCCCAGGTTGAGGGTCTGCAGTGGGCAGCTGGAGGCTCTGCAGCGGTCCCTGGGCAGCAGGGGAAGGGGGGCCCTATGGTCTCAGGGCTACTCAGACACAGGTCCCCACGTCTCCCAGCCCCATCACTGTCCTGGGCATCTAGAGCATGCCCTGTGTGGAAGGGATTTCTGCTTCCCTTTACCGGGCTCCTCACACTGAGGGCCAGCTTCCTATCCAGAGAGACGCAACTGCCGTGCTCACCTCAGGTCACTGGGTGAGGCTGCCCCAGTGCCCTGCTGCAGGCAAAGTGCCACCACCCCTCCCACCAGGACAGCTCAGCCAGTGCCTGTGACTCACCTACTGTGCAGACAGCAGGAACCACAGGTGACTTTCCTCCTTCCCTAAGAAGGCCTGCTTTCCCCAGGCTACATCTCTCCCGGGAACAGGGGGGTGCTTCCAGGCAGCCAGAAGTTGCCGGCTTCTCTGGGACAATGCCCAATGTCCTTGAGGTGAGAAAGGGGACCCTCAGGAGGAATCAAGGACACAGGATCACCCCTGTCCTGTCACAGTGTTGTGAGCAAGACACACTGCTGAGGTCAGTTCCATTACTTACAAATGGAGTCCTAGGACAGAGAGAAGTGCTGGACACTCTCCAGGAGCCCTATCATGCAGGCCAGGCCTTTATTCTAGATAGAAGACTATTAGAGCCAATCAGGCCTTCATTTCCTATCTGAAACTGGGCATCAATGCATTCTAAATGCAGTTTACTGTGCTGCCAGTAGAGACCCTCAGAGAGATACAGAAATCGATTTAGAGAGTGGAAACCTGTTTTCCTTTAAAGACTGGAAAATACCAGAATATACCAGGTCCCAGGAGGACCTGCTGGTTCAACCTTCTCCTTCAGCCAGGGGTGAGGGTGGTTTTACTGATTAACAAGGAAACATTCTTTCTGACATTCCAAACTCAAAACAGTTTAAAGCAGATTTTTTACCAAAAGAGTTTTATGTTCTTCCCATCTGAATAGGATCATGAGCACCTCATTCAAAGCACAGGGCTGAGCAGGCACAGGGGGCAGTCCTGACCTGCTCTGTAACAAGGCAGCTGGCAGCAAGGACCACACAGAGGACGCTCAGGGGCTCCCCTGCCAGGCCCCTCTGCACTGGGCCTGGACCACCCAGGACTCCTGTGCACAGCCTGTCAGGAAAGCAGTTCTCAGCTCACCTTCTAGAAGGAGCAAAGAGCAGAGCCACCCCCTCCAGACAGGAGCCAGGGAGGATCGGAAGCCCTGGGGGACCCACAGGCCCAGCACTGCCTCTAAGGAGCCACAGCTGTCCCCACAATCCTATTTGGCCGCAGGGAAGGACACTGCTTAGGGCTCTGAGCTTTGTCCTCCGGAGGGGTATGGAGGGGGAGGAAGAGCTGCTCCCCTGTCTGATCTGCACATTATCATGCAGGTTCCCCTCCTGTGTCCCTGGGTCACCCTGCAGGCAGCGCTTAACCAGGCTTTGCTTCTCACTGTGGGCACAGGCTTCAGGATTTTAGTTTAAAAAAATATATATGATATGGATGTCATATTAAAAATATGCATTTTGTGGTGTAGGACATTTTGGGACCATTTGGTTCACTTTTGAACCCAGGCACTGTGGCGGGTGAAATCAGATGGCTCACAAGTCCAACACCTCACACTCTGGGGCTAATGTTGCCAGTGCTGTGGTCCTTGTTCCACGCCCACTGTCCCCAGGCCTGTGCTGCCTGCCCAGCTTGGAGTTCGGTGCAGGGACTTAGGTGCCCCACCACAAGGTGCTGATGCTCTGTCTCAAGCCATGGCTCCGCTGAGCTCACACAGTAGATCCTGTTTCTGGAAGAGTCCTTGGAGCTAGCCTGCTGCATCAGGAGCATTTGGGGAAACCAAGGCCCATTGACTCCACGGGGGCAGAAGTCTAAGACTTGTGTCCACTTTAACACTGCTCCTCTCTACCAGAAAGAGACAGCCTTGCCCACTTTCACCTCCTGCTAATGGTCTTTCCGTGAACACAGCATGAGGTCAGGATGACGAGACTCCCAGCCAGGCTTTGGAAATCAAGAGAGCTTGAGGCTTGCCGGGCTGACTGAGCCAGACTTAGCCAACAAGGACCGCGTGCAGGCACTGCCCTGGGAGTGGGGAAGAGCAAGGGAAGCGCAGGCCCTCCGTGTCGGCACCCTCCATTCTGGAAGCACAGGAGGACATGGAAAAGCAATCACATGTGTAGTTTTCCTATCGTAAATGCACTTTGGAAGTCTGCTGAGCACAGTGGTCAGAAAACACAGAACCAGGAGCTGAGCTGGTCCCCCGGTATCAGCAAAGGCTTGTTTGAGGAGGCTGAGATGAGGAGGAGTAATAGAAGCCATGTTGCTGAGCGTGCTGTTTAAAATTTTAATTCCCTTTCAACATTTAGGAACCAAGACCTGTGACATAACCCTTAGACTGTTATCTGCTCTCTATACACAAATCGGGGTCATATTTCTTCCTGACAACAGTGAGCTGCAGCTAAACAGGGGCTGCAGGTCCAGATAGCACCCCCAGGTCCCCCCAGACCCACCATGCCCTGTGGCCTTCCCTGCCTACTCGACACCAGCGGTGATCTGCCTGGCTGGATGAAGTGCACTAGAAAGGTCAGAGGGCAGGGGGTGGAAAGAGCAGGTGCAAAAGCCCCATAAAGACCACCAGTCGACTTAGCCCTGTAGTGCCCCGTGGGAATAAGCCACCAGCCCCCAACTGGGGGGAAAGAACGTGGTCTATGCCCCATGCCTGGTGGTCAGCAGCTCAAGGGCTCGAACCCAGGCTACCAGCCTCCAAGGGACCCCTCAGGGTCTCTGCAGGTTCCAGGTACACTGCGTGCTAAGAGGGACCCATGAGGTGGGGACAGGAATCCCAGGACCATGGCCTGGGGACAGGCCCAGTGAGGCCTCTGGGGCTGGCTGGACCCTAAAGGGTCTCCACTGGGGAAAGGGCAAGTTATAAATGGCATTTTAGAGATTGGTTGTCTGGAAGCTGATTGGTGATCTGGAGTGACCAGAGGCCAACGGAGGCAAGCTAGGGTGGGGACAGGCTGGCTGTAGGACCTTCTGTCATCACTGAGACGGTTTCCCTAACGACTTCTGACTTCTTCAGAGGCCACAGCTATTAGCCCTTTCTCCACCTCCTCCTGCCTTGGCCTGCAGGCTCCACACTCTGCCTGCTGCCTTGGGTACATTTCCTACCTTTAAAAAGGCAATACCCCCAGGCCTCAGCCTTGGGCGTCTCCCATCTCCACCCTTCCCTGCCTGCACTTGACAGTCTCCTCCCAGAACCTCCACCGCCTACTCCTTCTCCCTCTCCCATTTCTGGAAACTGTTCTGGGAATCCTCCTGCTGAGGCCTAGGGATCCCATCTAGAAAACACAAGCGAGTTGTATGGCTTCCCACAGGGGCCCTGTGTCCCCAGGACAGGCCAAGATAAGGGCCTGCGCAGCCACAGGCACTGCAAAGCCACCAGCCAGGACAGAGCCATGGAAGGCACTTTAGAGCTGAGGAAAGCTACTCCAGGAACGTCATCTCCCTTAATGTCCCAGATCCTCTGCCACATGGGGCCTGCTCTCACGCCTGTTCATAGACCTTTGCAAGCCAACCCTCAGAGAGGTCTACTTTCCAGTAACCAGCCAGCAGAGGACCTGGGCTCCCGACTCTACATTCTCTCCACGGCTTCCCAAAGACCTCTGCATGAGTCACCAAGCACACTGACCTCTCTCAAGAGCAGTCTAGATGGGAAGGGCATTGAAGCTTCCACGAGTCAGAAGGAGTTGCCAACGATTGGCAGATGCCTTGGGTTCTTGTTGTGGGATCTTCCTCTGCTACCTGAGTTCAGAAGTGGGCTATCTTTGGAATTTTATGAGTTGTTTGGTAGAGTGTTAGATGAATTTATCCCCAGATAGCCTAAAAATTTTCTTAGAAACGAACTCCAATCCTCTTGGGCCACCACTGACTGTGTCTCCGCCTACACCCCACCCCTAAGTGCCCTCAGCCTTTATTTTAATACCCCTACAGGATGAGCTCACTGGCTCCTGGGCCCTTCCAAGTATACCCACCACTGCTCAGGAGGTTGCTGTGAAGGAGATCCACTTTATCCTGACCTGGGAAAGGGCTTGGGCTAGCTTACAAGCCCAGAGGTTCTGAGAAGCTAATTCCAGCCTATGCCTGGTTGGGTTTCTGGTCCACTGCCCATGTATTCATCTCCAGAGGTGTGAATTTTGTGGCCACTGTTGGGAAAATCTAGATTGTATACCCACATCAAGGTGTGCACTTCCATGTCCCAAATTGGCCGCTCCCCTGTGCCTCTCAGTCCTGAGTGCTGAGCAGGGTGGAACCTTACTAGCTGGTCTGCTGCAGTCCTAGGTGAGAGAGAAGGGTGGGGTTTGAGCCTCCCTTTCCCCAAATACTTGTCCTTTTGCAATTCACTCCACCCCAGCTGGATGGTTTTTGTGTCAAGGATTCTCAAACTGTGTCTTTAACATTGTCCCACGTGCTGTCATTGAGCTGCAGTTGCATCATACAATCTTAGAACCCCTCGCAAGGGACCTTGGGTGGGTGGAAAACAAACCACCCAGGACCAGAAGTCCCGGCACCAGGCGCTGGAGCAGCACTCTGCCATTCTCACCTTCTCCCCCTCGCTGTCTCCCAGTCTCCCAAAACCTGCTTAAGAAATTGTGCTTTTCTGGTTCCTTAACACGAAGACCACAGATCCCCTCTGTGTTGACAACCTCCTTCATGGCAGCCCGCTGAGCAGTCTTCCTCGGCCACCAGCATGGGCCCTGCTAGGGCCTGTGGGACCTCAGGGCCACAGAGGGCTGGTGCAGTCTTCCTTGCGCCATTCTCTGCCTGCTGAAGCCCTGACACCCCGGCCTGGGCGGGCTCACTGCCACACCCCTTCTCCTCTCCGTTTCCTGACCCATTTCCTCTCTGTCGCCTCGCTGGCTCTTCCTTCAACCAGAGAGTCTGCAGAACTGCAGCTGCTCCTGGGCAGGGCAGCTGGCTCTCCCGCTGCAGCCGCCTGCTGTGTGGAAGGCCTCCCTCAGCACAGCTGGAACTGGACAGGCTGCCTCCGCACCCTCCACCCACACCTCTCCTCCTCCTTCTTCCCACTCACCAGGGAGTCTTCTCCTCTGTTTCTTGGCAGCCCAGAGGCCAATGAGAACACGTCAGCTTGTCCTTCTCCATCCAGCTGGGTGGGGACCAGGACAAGAAGAGCCCCCAGTGCAGAGGGGGGGGGGGTTCACCTTCCCTGGGGAAAGTGAGCAGCACAACAGGGCTGTGAGGTATCCCAGGTGCTTCCAGGGTCACTGGACAGAAGTGGGCCCATGAGTGAGGACAGAGGACGTCATGCCTCCCGGCACAGGAGGTCCCCAGCTCAGGGACATAGAAATGACCTCTTCAGATCACCTCCTTTACTGGGTTCTTTTTAAATTGTAAAAGTCCATGAATCAGGGTAGACAGCACAATGAACACCACACAGCAGGCTGCACAACCACAAGCTGCCCCCAGAGGCCCTCCCCCGGCCTTCCCAGTCACAGCCCCCTCCCCCAGGGTCACCATGAATGAACTTGGTGGTAGCAGCCCCCTGTGTCCTGTGCCTTCACCTCATGCATACTCATGCTGAACAGCTTGGTCTCCGCCTGTGTTCCTAG